AAAAATCTTGCCTATCCGTTTCTTCCTTCATACTATTATATTTCGTGTTTAAAAGATTTTCTACTATCGCGATAGGCGTTAGTATTTTACGAGCCTTTAGAATCTTGAATACAATACCTGCTGCATATAATTTGTTTTCTACCATTTATACACAATGTTTTTCTATGGTATAAATTATAAATACTCTTTGTTTTATATATATATATTTTGTTTCGTGAGAAAGAAGCTTCGATTTAAATGAAACTTCATTAATAAAGAAAAATATGACATAATCATTAAGTATTATGTGAGAACTACGTATATCAAAGAAACGCGAAGGTATTCTCAATGGGGAAAGGTAATTCGCGTTAGTGAATACTAAACGTATGATTTTTCGTGGTGGGTTTAAGCGAACGTGACAATTTCCACGCTTCCTACGAAAAAGTCTTCCCCTCGATAAGGACGTTAAAGATTACGTGATTTCCGTTCCAAAAGTAAAAGCTAGAATTATAATCGGTGTCACTTTATGAGCCTTCATTTGTATAATCGTTGTGCCGTAAATTCTTCCTTATTTGTATATTTCTTATTCCTAAAAGGTTCAACATCGAATATATTATATATAGTCTTTTAATGATAATAATGATATATCTTTCTAATAACATAATGTATACCTAACAGTTAGGGTCGGCTCTAAGCTAATGAATAAAAAGCATTTAACTAATGGCACAATGATTGTAATGTATCAACACGGTAAAAAAGAAATAGTATTAAAAAAATATGATAGTGTCTAAACGTCGGTGGTACTTGTAACAAATCTAATAGAAAAATTTTATTGCGAAAGCTATTGTTATTAACATTATTTTGTTATTAAGTGTTCAAACTGGTCGAGGAGTGCAACATATAGAATCTTTCTAATTATTTCTAACCTTTCTAATATATAATTTGTGTTAAAGAATTATACATTAGAAAGTTTTCTCTTCATTTTTGTTTGTTTGTAAATCTTTTCTTTTGTTTTTTTTCGAGTAAGATCAAAGCTAGAGATTCTAAGGGAAAACGGTGCCTCGGCATTGAGCAATTCGCCAAGAATGGCATTCATGCACGACGTCGGATGGAGCCGTCCGATTTTGCCAAATACGGGATTACAAATGCGCTTCTGTCCAGCAACCCGCCATGGATATAAGTCAATACAGCAGGCAGTTTCTCGTTGCCTCTACCATCGTGCGAATAAAAGACCCCGACGATATTTATTTCCCAATACGATAGACGATGTCACGATAACGCTTGATTTACACCGAACGACAAATCGCCGTCTAATTCGCGATCTTCGACCTTCGCGTAAACGAGAAATACGAAAGCGAATGAATTTCGGAAAAAAAAAATATCATCGAAAGACACGAACGTTTATATACATTTCTTTTTTATTTCGTTTGCATCTTTATCTTTATCTCCGTTATTTCTCAGCGAATGAGAATAATTTTACAGTACGCGAACAGATTTGAGTAATAATAATAATGTAGAACTGGTATTTATCGTGTCAGTAATTTGGAAACATTTTGGATTAGTCAGTATGATAATGGTGATAAATAGTCATTATTATTACTTTTTTTTTATTGAATAAAATTTTTATCGATGTGGCGGTATTTAAACCAATAAATAAGATGCGATTTTATAGTGAAACTTAATCATCATCATTTATACTGAGCAAAATATTCATAAAGTAGATCATTTATTTCATACAAAATTTATCATTAATAAATCAAAGAAAAAGGCTATAAATAATGGTACCTATGAAAAATATTAAAAAATAAATCTTGAATCGTATATGCAGGTGTATTTAAGCGATTGTAAATTTGCATTATCTACTGTGACCAAGGCCAAAGTGGAATATAATAACGTCGAGGTGGACGCACGCTTATAGAACTTTAGCCTATTCAAGGATAAACGTTAAGAAGAGACATAACACGTTCATATGATTCACGTTATCTTAACTGTGTATTACGAAGACGCGCTATACTTTATTTGGTGATATTCGTGCTCAATCGTTCGAATAGAATATTTTCCAATCGGTGATTATAAATTTCACGGAGAAAGAAAAACACGTTTCCCGATTTTCTAACAGTTTCGTGATTCAGCGAGTGACGACATCCTTACAAATAAAATGTCAGATCTATAAATGTCTCGCGTTTACCTTCGTTCGTAAGAGAAACTAGTTTTGGAATCGATTCCATTTAGAAAATCGAATTCGAAATATTTTCTTCCTAATGTCTTTTTTCTTCTTTTTTTTTTTTTTTTAGCCAATAAGTACTCTCGTCTAAATCAATAAAAGAGTCTCGCGACGACCGGTTAGTTTCGTGGTATACGTCATATATCGATAATTGTGGTTCTTCACGAATACAAGAAAAAAAAGAGAAAAAAAGAAAAAAAGAAAAAACAGAAAGAAAAGAAAAAGAAAGGAAGAAAAATGTAGTGGGCGAGAGCAAGGCCTTCGTCAGGTTCGACCCACGCGCCTTATTAAGCGCCTCATATGCGTGAAGTTCATTGAATATTAGCTCACAGTTATCGCCTCGAATTTTCCCTATACGGAGTTCCGAAGTTTTTCTTGTCTGCAATCAAAAATAAAACACAGTAAGTAAAACAAAGTAATAAAAAAAAGAAGCAAATTTCGAAAAGAAAAAAGAATTGTTGCGTTTCGTTTTTAGAACAGGTAAACGAGACTTTTCATTGAGATACATTTCCTTTGATAATTTTTTTACACGGTAACAAAAAATAAAATCATTAGATCACATTTTTGTTTCCTTTATATTTCTTTCCCCTTTTATTTTTCTTCTTTCCCCTACCATCGTGACTATTCTTTATTCAGCTGATTCTAATTTAAACGTCGTTACGAGGCACGAGCGTGCCACCGTCAAGCGCTCATTAGCGTCGCCTCATACATATTTTGTCGGTCGTTCAATTTATTCTTATCTGTCAATGTGATCTACGCTACTCCGCCATTGCTTCTTCAAAGATGCGTACGAATTACACCGAGTGAGTTATGAATCGTTTACGCTTATATAACTTTTTCGCATAATCGACTCTTCTTCTTCTCCTTCCACGTGTTCCGCGCTCACTTTTACAACCATAAGTACATATGAGCGAGTGAACGAATAAACGTGTGGGGGACTCGTTACCTACACACATTGCATCCTAGTCATGTGCTGCAACATAGAAGCTAAAGTATGCCAAGGTTGTTCGATCTGTCTAGAAGATTTTTTCAGATTTTTTAACGTTCCTTCGTATGTATATTATGAACAAAATTATTATCGAAGAAGAAAACAAATTTATTTCTTATTATAAATATTTGGACTTGTGTGTATTGTTTCATACAAATGAATGTTAAAAATTTATGAAATAAATTGAAATTTAGATGAACTATCTAGATCAAGGCTTCTTAAACTTTTGTCATTCACGACCCCATTTATGATTGTGAGTTTCTTGACGACCCCATTTATGATTGCGAGTTTCTTGACGACCCCATACAAATATTACTGCTGTCGGTGGAGATAGCTCAAAACCTTCAACAAATGCACGTGTCTAGACGCTGCAAGTCCACTGTATTCCGCCAACTCTAGTGATGTTATAAAATGATATATATAAATATTTGACATTAAAATCTCTCGCGACCCCAGAATTTTGCTATTGCATTTGGGGTCGCAACCCATAGTTTAAGAAGCCCTGATCTAGATCGATCATCGGTTTGTTCTTATTCTTATATTATATATCTTATATATAACATATATGTTTCTATATACATACATCTATCGATGTTAAATTATCACGATATTCGTTCGAGGTCGGACTAAGCACGGACGCTTAGAATGATTAGAACCTGTTATAAATCTGGGTTAATGCATTAGTTTGTTCGCATTGATTTTTACGATTGGAACGACTCATTGAATCGTCGTTCTTGTAAAAAAAAAAAAAATTACAAATGACAGAGTATCGATTTAAGACAATATTAATTATATAAAGTCTCGATTATTTCCTTTTTAATATTTTCTATTTTTATGCTGCAATCTTTGCATTCTTTTGTCTGACACACCCTTATTCGAGTAATTACACGATCGATTATCTCATCTAATATCTTCCTTGGTATTATTAACATCAAAAAAGAAAAAAAAGTGTTTTCTCTTTTCAACGCTGTAGTGTAGATTTGTAGTAGACTTGTAGTAGATTTGTAGTAGATTTTTGTAGTAGATTTGTAGTAGATTTTTGTAGTAAATTTTTGTAGTAAATTTTTGTAGTAGATTTGCCTCCGCTCGAATTTCAAAGGGCCAACCCGCGAGAAATAAATTACACCTCGACTTCCTTCCTATCTCCGGCTAACGACTGCATTCAACGTCGATTCGTGTCCATTAGGAAAAACGTGTCATGTCGATGATCCCTCAGTCAATAAAGATAACGGCCAATTTGGCACGTCGAGTCGACGACTGGTGGCGTCATTAACATAATTGAAGATTCGTTATTTTCGTATTTTTAATTCGTTCATTTTTTCATTTTTTTACACATCGAAGAAAATTATACTCTTAATTTTTCCCTTGGAAAATAATATTTTTATATTATAAATACTTCGTAATATATATATAATTCTATTTATTTGGTCAATATTTTTCAAAGATCTTTTTATAAATATTTTGTAAAATACACTGCAATGTATATTTAATGTTAAGTGTAAATAATAAATTGTCAGTATTTTAAATATTAGATGATCAAGATTATGTCAAAGTTGCATTAGAGTTCGTACCGATATTTTCTCCTATTGATCACTAATTGAAAATATAAAAAAATGTTTCTATATACGAACCTAATTAATAGCAACCTATAGTTGAAAGCTAATACGATATATGTACGTTATAAAATGGTAATAAAGAAAAGACATGAAAAAATATTGTCAGCAATTCGTTCTATTAGTAAGAATATGATGCCAGAAATAATGAAACTAGAAATAATGAAACTAGAAATAATTAGTTTATTGTTTTCAGGGCGATTGTAGGAGCTCCGGAGGCCGATACATCGCAAACAGGTATCTACAGGGGTGGCGCGGTTTACAGATGCGACATTGCGACCGACAACAGATGCGACATTATCCACTTCGACGATACAGGTAAGATCATTGGCGACAGTAACGTAGGTACGACTTGCAATCATGTCCAATACTCGTGTCACTCACGAAATTTTATCGTCGATCTCTTGAAAGAAAATCGATACCAAAGCCGTCGAGATGGCAAGTTGTTGATTCTGGATCGACGATCGAGAATCAATCGCGACAGGACCGGTTTTGTATAATTTCTTCGTCAGAAATATATTTACACATACGTATATACATATATAATAATAATAATAATAATACATAAGTATATGTATGTAGAAGTTTGTATCTTCTTCTTTTGCTTTGCGCACCTTTAAATTGTTACGTTGAAAACCGCGACTAACGGTGAAGACGGACAATAGAATTGTCTGTAATTCAAGTAGTAAGAGTAGCGAATACTCGTGGAGTTGCTAACTAAGTCTTCGCAACCCTGACGTGTCTCAAGACTTAATTCGATATCTTCTTCCCTTTAGGTTTTTCTATTTCTTTTCTTTTCTTTTATTTTCTATCTCTCTCTTTCCTTTATTTCAACTCTTTCAGAGCACTTGTCTGATACTCGGAGAGATGCATTCTTGTAGGTGTACGCTAATAAAACTCCTCCCTACCTCTAGTTTCTATTTACATGTTCGCAGTCGCTGACCCACATTTTCATTTACTTGAGTTTCAAAGTAGCTTCGTAATCTCGGAAAAGAGAAGTGAAAGAGAAAGGTAATAAAAAAGGTAGTAAGAAAGGTAGTAAGAAAGGTAGTAAGAAAGGGAGTAAGAAAGGGAGTAAGAAAGGGAGTAAGAAAGGGAGTAAGAAAGGGAGAAAGACGGTGAAATAACCAGAACACTGACTATAGAACATTCTATTCTTAGAAGACTCCACATACCCTCCTCCCTTGACCCTTTCATTTTTCGAAGACCTTCCGCTCCAGATAATCTCATCGTTTGTTTCAAACGAATAATCAATCATATCAATCATCTCGATTGATCGATCGTTAGAATGAAAATAAATTCCAAAAGAATGATCCTTATTGTTAGCTGGTTACAGATATATAAGATTTTTGTGGTTGTTCAAAGAGATAAATAAAAAAACATTTCAATGTAGAATTTAATTTTAAGCTTGGCAATGAACACGGTATTACAGCTCGATGTAAATTAGAGGAATCAAGTCCGGTGCGAATTAGATGTATGTAAGTACGCTTGCACACCTCGTAACGAGCGTATCTCTCTATGATCAGCAGGCCATAACTCGGTACGATAATCTCGGCCATAATTTGCTGGCGCGAAAGTAATCGCGACCGGCTCGAAAATCCTTCTACCTGCTCGTTCATCGATATCGAGTTATCTCGAACATTGCACGGAACAAAACACGAAACAATCGAACTATCTTTCGGGATATGCGATTTACCGTAACGTTTCGATGACTCTACGAGAACCATACTTTTTTTTCTTTTCTTTTCTTTTTTATTCGATAGGATTTTTCTTATTTATTTTTTTTTTCTTATCTTTAGAGGAGAGATTTGTCCAATTTGTACCGATCGATTTTATATATTGATATTTAATATTACGTACATATTTGGAGCATAAAATAATTTTCAAAAGTAGAAAGCATTTTGGTAATACATGAAAAAATACAACAACTTATTAGGCTTGGTTTATTGCATTAAAAATAATTGGCTATAAACGGTAATCAGTCTCGTTTAAGGTTCGATTTTTTAATCCAACGAGGATCGCGTTCAAAGATTTTTTCTATTTTGTCGCGACAACTTGAAGATTCGGATCAAAAGTTGTGAATCTAATTTTCCTTTAAACTCAATAAAATTGTTTAAAAGTATAACCATATGTAAAAGGAACAATCTTAAAATAATAAAATACTATAGGACTAGTCCGATTTGTGGTGCCGTCGAGACGGTACAAACAAGATGCGTACTCAAAAATAGATCGCGGATGTATGTGTGTGCATAAAAGCTGATGATGACGATATGACCTAATGAATGCAAACAAGCAATACGTGACACCTATAAATACAGATAACGTAATATTGAATGATTTACAAGGAGATATTACGATTGTACACCAACGAATTTTCACGAGCTTTGGTATATTATTAATACACCTTTAAGATATTCTCGTGGTAAAATATTTCCGTAAACTGACCAGCTAATTTTGAGAAAAAAACTTTCAAAATTTGCTTTTTTTTTATATATATATGTAGGATTCCTTTCTTCTCATCAGTCTTTTTACGAATATCTGAATATTAAAGAGTAGGCATACTGGTGTTAATAATAAATTGTTCGTAAAGATGAATAGACCATTTCAATGTAAATGCAATTTAATCTGATAAAATACAATACAATAATAGATGTCCGCTGCTTGATGGCTAAACGATGACTAACTTTCAGATCTTTGTTCTTTTTCAACTGTTTATTCGCATAGCAACGTACCGCTGCACGCCGTTACATCCCAACGGTCCGACCAACTATACATTGTTTTATTTCGTATTTCCTTTGTCTAATTTCCCCATCCCACATATATATGTTCTTATCTTCTTGTAAATTCAATTATTTATTAATTAGCGCAATAGCGTATGTAATAGCGTTCTCGGCTGTCGTTCTTGATTTTAACGTAAAGATTTATTGCGGATTATTTATTTTAATTATGAATTTAAATAAAATATAAATTCGCGTAATCTTACAAGTTTTTTCGTATAATGTTGAGAAATATATAATAGTTGTATATCGGTGGATAGTTAGATAAGAATAAAGAAGAAATTCGAATAGTGATTCCTGCCGATCTCGAGTGAGGTCGTAATCGATCCTTATTCGAAGTGATCATCCGGTCGATCCACCTGCGAGTTCCAACGCGTCCAAGTGCCAAACGATCGTTCCCGATCTAGGATTGTACAATATATCTCCGACTCAGTGTGCGTACGAGAAAGCAATCTTTCGAGGAGAGTCTTTCGAGGAGAGTCTTTCGAGGAGAGTCTTTCGAGGAGAGTCTTTGAGTAAACCTAACTAAAAGTCGATGTATTGACTGTACTGAGAACGATTTTCTGAAAGAAGAACTTTGTAA